CGGTGTACCTCCGGGTACAACACTTGTCCTCCTTGCGAAGTTAGGAGGTCCACTCTGTCCGTCAGCCGGGTAAAGACTCCCCTCGCCAACAGGCGCAGCGGCGAAAACCATGGTTGCCTTGGCCACCACGGGGTGACTAATATGCAGTGCGCGTTCTCCGCCTGTATCTTCGCCACTACCCGCAACAGGAGTGGGAACGGAGGAAACGCGTAAGTCTTGTAGTGTGTCCAGGTGTGGATGAAAGCGTCTCCCAGGCATCTCCCCTGAGGCGACGCGTGAGCTCGTGCGCAAAAAAGGTGGCACTTCGCGTTGGATTGAGTTGCAAAAAGGTCCAACTCCGGGGTTCCCCAGGCTAGGAAGAGCTTCAGGACCTCGTCCTGGTGCAGGGACCATTCGTGATGCGTCAGCGGGCTCCGACTCAGAGAGTCCGCTAACAGGTTCAATTCTCCTGGCACATGGGTTGCCAGCAGATGGATCCCTCTGTCTATGCACCATTCCCAAATTTGTAAGGTTAGGGTCAGTAAGGTGCGTGAGTGTGTGCCTCCCTGTTTGTTCAGGTAGTACATCACCGTGGTGTTGTCGGTGAGGATGTGTACTACCTGATTTGCGACTACCCTTTCGAAGGCCTTTAGAGCCTTGTCGACGGCGAGAAGCTCTAGCACGTTTATGTGAAGAGCGTTTTCTTCTCTTCCCCACACGCCGTGAGCCACCAGACCTTGGGAGTGAGCCCCCCAGCCCGTCAAGGAGGAGTCCGTAGTGACCGTCCTTGTGGCGCGGGGGGCATAGAAAGGTAGTCCCGCACAAGCCCATCCCGGATCCATCCAGCAACGGAGAGAGGATCGGACCCACGACGGTGGAGACAGTCTCACGGCCGGGTTGTCCGTCAACGGGTTGAACTCGGAGAGGAACCAGGACTGGAGTAGCCGCATACGCAACCTGGAATAGCGGATAACCGACGTGGTCGATGCCATGTGCCCCAAGAGCACTTGGAAGTGTCGAGCCGGCATGTCGGGCGCTGTGATGGTGATGCCGACCAGATCGCGCAGATTGGCGAAGCGGTCCTCGGGTAGAAAGGCCCTCTCGGCCGTGGAGTCTAGAAGGGCCCCGATGAAGTGGATGCGTTGCGAAGGGACCAGCACCGACTTCTCCCGATTGAGTACAAGGCCCAGCGACTGGAGAAGAGACAAAACCATAGAAACGTGATGTTGAAGCACGCAACGGGACCTTGCCACTATCAGCCAGTCGTCAATGTACGGGTAGACTACAACGCCCATCGTTCTAAGATGGGCGGCCACCACGGCCATGCACTTCGTAAAGACCCTCGGGGCCGCCGAGAGGCCGAAAGGTAAAACGTTAAAACAATACGTTTGGCCATTCACTCTAAAGGAGAGAAATCTACGATGGCGTGGAGCAATAGAGATGTGGAAGTACGCATCCCTAAGGTCAACGGTCGCAAACCAAACCCCCCTGGACAGGAGGGGGGTAATGGAAGCAAGAGTCACCATCCTAAATTTCTTTGGCTTGATATGTTTATTTAAATTTCTCAAGTCAAGGATAGGGCGCATTCCACCACCACGTTTGATAATCAAAAAGTATCTTGAGAAAAAACAAAATGGAACCGACGAAGGGTCCACTAATGAGATAGCCCCCTTCTGTAACAGCATAACTACTTCATCCATAAGCTGAGGGGAAACAACAGTGTCTCTCAACTGACCCACTCTAGGGATATCACGGAATTCTATAACATAACCATCAGAAACAATTGACAGTAACCAGGCATCTGTTGTGATTCGTGCCCATGTATGGTAAAAGGGGGCAAGTCTGTCTGTGAACAGAGGAACTGGTCCAACAGGGACCTCAGGGTTTAACGGAGTGGAACAATTTGGAATGGAATGCGGACAACAGGACTCTTCCAACGGGAGACCTATCTCTAAGCTCTCGGTGGGAGCGTCAAAGGCGCTTCTTGGAGGCGCCGGGGAGCTTAGACTTTCCCTGGAAGGGTTGATTCCTATTCTTTTGAAAATACGGGGTTCGGCGGGTTCCCTGATATCTGGAGGTTCCCGAGAACCTATTCCTAAAGGGTCCTGTAGAGGAGTTACTGAAGGGCTTGCGATACTGAGAGGAAGACTGCTGCCATTTGGCCCTAGATTGGTTATACGGCTGCCATGTATATCCAAATTTGAAGGCTGACTGCCGAACGTCTTGCTTCTGCTTCAAATTGTCATCTGTGTTGGGGTTAAACAAGCCCTCCTCGTGAAAGGGGAGGTCCTCAGCTAAGGCCTTCCCCTCCTCAGAGAGATTAGAGGCCCGCAGCCAAGCATGCCTTCGCATGGAAGTGGCAATGGCGAACAGGTTGCCTGCTGTTTCTGCCATATGTTTGGCAAAATCTTTCTGTAATTTTGATAATACAAGGGCCTCTCCCTGCAGCGCCCTGGGAAGGCGCTGCTCCTCTGGTGGCATGGTCTCAATATGCTGCAGCATCCGGTTCCACAAGAACGATTGGTAACCGCTCATATACGTAGCATAATGAGCCATACGCGTAAATAAACTAGCTACAAAATAGGCCTTTTTCCCCATAGTGTCCAGCTTCCTGCCCTCCCTGTCCGGAGGGGCAGTCACTGAATTCTTAGGCCGCTTGGATTTGGTGACTTCGGCCACCACAGTGTTAGCCTTAGGAGGCGTTAAAGCCCACTTGGCTGTAGACATGTCAATCTTATACAATGAATCCAATCGCCTCGGGACGGCAGGTACCGCCAAGGGGGCCATGTCTACGACTTTGGCTAGTTTCAAAAGGTAAGGCAACACTGGGAGGGCAGAAGAGGAAACCACATTCTGTTCATCCGACGGAAACATCGGATCCTCGACGTGTTCAGGGGGTTTAGGGGCAGGGATCTCCAGAGCCCTTATCATTCTCTCCACCAGGGCTGCAAATTTATTGAAATCAGCTGGAAGAATAACAGAAGTGTCCTCACCCCCCAAGTTCTGAGTCACATCATGTGGCTCTGAGCCAGAGTCACTCTCACGGGGCTCATTGTCCTCCTGGGCCGTAGCCCCTGGCTCCTCCACAGGTGCAGTTCTCACAGGAGTAGCCAAGGTAATGTCTAGATCTGCTGCACGGACTAGGCCCGGGGTGGCTGGGACCACTGTGGCAGAAGGGATACAAACAGATAAATCAGCAACAGTCACAGCACTCAACGGAGCGTTGGAGACCGACGGTTGGGAGTCCGTGATGGGCCGCCTATCAGCAGTTGGGGCAGGCTCGCCCGCCCCGGCCAAAAGCAGGCCCCCTGGAGAGGCCTGTGGGGGTTGAGGTCTTGCGGGGGACGGAGCCACTTGCAGTCCAGTTCCTCGCCCCGAGGTCGGCAAGATGGGGGCTGAGGGGGCCGCTGGCATTGAAAACGGCACTGGGGCCGGTACAAAGATAAGCTGGCCGGACGGTGCCATCTGCCAGAAGCCCTGCGGGGGCGCGACTCTCGGTTCCTGCCGCCTCCGGGATCGATGGGAACGCCTTCGGCGCCTCGACGGGGGCGGTGAGGAGGAGGAGGAGGAGGAGGAAGTTGAAGAGGAGGAGGAGGAAGATGACCTGGAGCGCCTGCCGCTTCTTGGAGAGGCTCGGTGCCGGCGACGCCGGGAGCCCCTGCTCCTCCTTGACGGAGATCTGGAACGCCTGGGCCGTTTACTGGGGCGGCGAGACCCACGGCTCCCTCGCCGTTGTTCGTGAAGCTCAGCCATCGCCGAAGGCTCGATAGCACTCGGCATGCCAGTCGAGTAATCAGCTGGTCCCTCCTCCTCCCGGGCTCGAGAGAGCTCGGATATCGCCGGTCTCGGGGAGGCTATGGCCAGGCCCACATCCATTGGGAAAGAGGGAGGGCCATTAAACAGCCCTCCGAAAGCGCCGCTCCCGGAAGGGACAGGCTCCATGGGCGGCGTTGTGGGAGGAGCTACAGAGGGAGGTCCTTCCTGCCTGGGCTCCGCCTCTTGCCCTCCCTCGGGCCCGGGGGAGGACAGTGTCGGCATGGCTGGAGTCAGCGAGGTCCCGGGAAGCTGGCTTTCCGGTCTCGAAGAGGAGGTCCTGGCCGGGGTGGCGTCCACTGGCTCGAGACACAAGGTAGGTGCCTGCAGGGGCCGATCTGGCTGGTCTCGCTGCTCCGCCATTACAGGGGGCGGAGCTAGGGCAGCTGAAGAAGAGGGAGCGCTTCCCGCCCTTTTTGAGGCCGCTTTTTTCCCGGTTGATATGCCGCGGCCATCTTGAGAGGCCTTGTCCCTAGGCCTCTTGGCCTTCTTCTTGGCCAGGTTTCCAGCCTTTTCCAGAAACGGTAAGGTATTTAGCACCGGAGACGCCTGCTGTGCCGATGGTGTGGGAGGGAGCAGGGCCCTCTCATACAAAGCCGCTTTAAGTCTAAGCTCGCGGCTTTTCCTGGTCTGCGGCGTGAAAGCCATGCAGATCGAGCAAGCCTGGGTGAGGTGCCCCTCTCCCAGGCAGGCTAAGCACATCGAATGCCCATCCGTGTTCGGATATAGGTTGGGGCAGGCGGAGCACCGTTTAAACGAGGTGGTCGCCATAAGCTTAGCCTCAAGATCGAAGTCAACAGTCCGGGTCGAATGACGGCAAACGGGGTCCAAATCACAATCCAAACAATCTTAGTCAAACAGTCCTGATCAAAGTCCAATATCGTAAAATAAGCAGAGAAGCTCGCACGGAGAAAGAAGGTTCTCAAGCTGCCAACAGGAGCGCGGAAAAGAGAACTGCTGGCTAGCCCCGCCCACGGGCTACTTATACTCGGGGGAGGGTGGGCGGGCCTAGCTGGGGTCTAAATTGTTAGTTTTCTTTCTAGAAGGTTCCGAAAGCTGTTCCACGCATGCGTGTAAATACCAAATGTACGATTCACAGTGACTACGACAGGAAACTATTTAGCCGGGCGAGTGGGGCGTCTCGCAGAAATATTTTCGGACAGGGAAACGGGACGAAAAAGAGCCGACGTCGGGAAGCTATGCCTTACCTTCCATCGGCGTGTTGGGGTCCGGTCGGTTGGCGAACACCACATCCACGTATTCTAGCTGCAGCCGCTCTAAGGAGGCTTTCAAACCTAGCAGAGAGCAAGGGAAAGGCGTCAAGACCACGTGTTTACAAAACCTTCGCTTTCAATGGCATCCGAGGAGGATAAAAGGAAATCCTAGTGTTGAGACTCAGTATGAGATAAAATATGACACGTGGTTTGGATTAAATTGTATGAAAGGTGTGTGGCCAGGTCTATAAGGCTGAAGACACCCTCCTAAGACCAGACTTAGATCGTTCGGTTCCCTCTAGTTACCGCCCAGTCTCGAACCTTCTGTTTCTGGGCAAGGTGGTTGAGAGGGCACAACGGAACAGTTGCAGCAGTTCCTAAATGACCCTGCCGGACTCGATCCCTTCCAGTCCGGCTTCCGTAGGGGGCACAGGACGGAGACTGTGTTAGTTGCCATCACAGATCAGCTTCACTGCCAGATGGATCAAAGCGGATCAGCGCTGCTCATATTATTGGCCCTCACAGCAGCATTTGATACGGTCAATCACAATCTATTGACCCACCGCCTAGCCATGACTGGGGTGGGGGGGATACCCCTTAAATGGGTGTCCTCCTTCCTCCAGAATCGGGGACAGCGTGTGGTGAGGGGAGGGATGGTTTCCGAGAGATCTCCGCTAACTTGTGGGGTCCCACAGGGAGCCATTCTCTCTCCTCTATTATTTAACATCTATATGCGACCGCTTGCCCCCAACTGGTGCGGAGCTTTGGGCTTGAGTGCCACCAGTATGCTGACGACACAGCTCATTCTGAGGATGGCTCACACCTGGGTTTGTTAATGAGGACCGAAGAGAACAGATTTGGAAAAGCAGGAGTGATTCGCAGTTTCTACGAAGGTCAAATAGATTACGGGAGAGGGAGGCTTCAAAGTCTGGAGGCGTTTCAAGAAATAGTTTCTTTAGTTTAAGGGGCCTCTCCCTGGCTGATCAAGCATCGTTTGAGACCGAGGCAGTACCTTGGCAAATTTCCTGTGTTCCATGGCCTGCATTCCCAGAGGCTTCTAGTTTTCAAGTACGGTTAGTGATATGCTAACAGGTTCCTGGTTTTTGTATTGTGGTTTTTGGAATTTTGCTCAAGCTCAGAGATTTTCCTGACTGTGGCATTTTGACTTTGCATTTACCTTTCTTTTGTAACCATTTTTCATCAATAAAAAGGATTGCTTTTTCCCACAGTCCAGTGTGGTGGATTTAATCTTATGGTCTCGTTTCCTGATCTGGGATGCAACACCCAGCAGGAAAGCAACACACACTTACCTTCTATAATGTGCTTCCTGGAAAGGCCTCGCTCCGTCTCAGCCCTGGAAAGAAAAGAGGCCGCGGTGAGCCGGTGGAAATATCCCGGTTCACGCACTTTTAATACCGTTAACTATTATTATTATATTTTAATGTTTGCATCCTTTTGGGGTTGTAAATGGCATTGCTATCAGTTCTACTAAAAGCCACTTTGAGTCTCTTTTTTGAGAGAGAGAAAAAAGCGGGATACAAATAATAATAATAATAATAATAATAATAATAATTGCAATATAATAATAGTATAATAAAACTATTGTATTAGTTTTACTGACAGCCACTTTTGAGTCTCTTTTTTTCAGAGCAAAAAAGTGGGATACAAATAATAATATAAAATACAAATAATAATACAAATAATAATATAAAATATTAATATAAATAATAATATAAAATATTATTAAATTTTTATAATAATAATACAATATACTAATACTAAATATAATAATACTAATAATAATCTGTTGAATTACTTTTACTGTCAGCCACTTTGTGTCTCTTTTTCTCAGAGAGAAAATGTGAAATACAAAAAATAATATAAAATATTATTAAATTTTTATAATAATAATAATAAAATACTAAATATAATACTACTACTACTACTAATAATAATAATATAGAGACATCCGTTGAATTATTTTTACTGTCAGCCGCTTTGAGTTTTTCAGAGAGAAAATGTGAGATACAAATAATAATATAAAATATTATTAAAATGTTATAATAATAATAATAATATACTAATACTAAATATAATAATACTAATACTAATAATAATCTGTTGAATTATTTTTACTGTCAGCCACTTTGAGTCTCTTTTTTCAGAGAGAAAATGTGGGATACAAAAAATAATATAAAATATTATAAAAATTTTATAATAATAATAAAATACTAAATATAATAATAATAATATAGAATATCCGTTGAATTATTTTTAGTGTCAACTGCTTTGAGTCTCTTTTTTCAGAGAGAAAATGTGGGATACAAAATAATATAAAATATTATTTAAATGTTATAATAATAGTGATATAATATGATAATACTAAATATAATAATAATAATAATAATAATAATATAGAGACATCCGTTGAATTATTTTTACTGTCAGCCGCTTTGAGTCTCTTTTTTCAGAGAGAAAATGTGGGATACAAATAATAATTTAAAATATTATTTCAATGTTATAATAATAATAATAATATACTAATACTAAATATAATAATACTAATACTAATAATAATCTGTTGAATTATTTTTACTGTCAGCCACTTTGAGTCTCTTTTTTCAGAGAGAAAATGTGGGATACAAAAAATAATATAAAATATTATAAAAATTTTATAATAATATAATATACGAATACTAAATATAATAATAATAATAATAATAATAATAATATAGAGACATCCGTTGAATTATTTTTACTGTCAGTTGCTTTGAGTCTCTTTTTTTCAGAGAGAAAATGTAGGATACAAAATAATATGAAATATTATTTAAATGCTATAATAATAGTAATATAATATACTAATGCTAAATATAATAATAATAATAATAATAATAATAATAATAATAATATAGAGACATCCATTGAATTATTTTTACTATCAGCCACTTTGAGTCTCTTTTTTTCAGAGAGAAGAAGTGGGATACAAATAATAATATAAAATATTATTAAAATGTTATAATAATATAATACACTAATACTAAATATAATAATAATAATAATAATATAGAGACATCCGTTGAATTATTTTTACTGTCAGCCGCTTTGAGTCTCTTTTTTCAGAGAGAAAATGTGGGATACAAATAATAATTTAAAATATTATTTCAATGTTATAATAATAATATTATATAATAATACTAAATATAATAATAATAATAATAATAATAATAATAATGTGGGATACAAAATAATATAAAATATTATTTAAATGTTATAATGATAATATAATATAATAATACTAAATATAATAATAATAATAATAATAATAATAATAATAATGTGGGATACAAAATAATATAAAATATTATTTAAATGTTATAATGATAATATAATATAATAATACTAAATATAATAATAATAATAATAATGTGGGATACAAAAATAATATAAAATATTATTAAAATTTTATAATAATAATATAATATAATAATACTAAATATAATAAGAATAATAATAATAATAATGTGGGATACAAAAATAATATAAAATATTATTAAAATTTTATAATAATAATAACAACAATATAATATAGAGACATCAGTTGAATTATTTTATTGTCAGCCACTTTGAGTCTCTTTTTTCAGAGAGAAAAAGTGGGATACAAAATAATATAAAATATTATTAAAATGTTTTTTTTTAGTCCGAAAACCTTAAAACTAAAAACCTATTCACACCTAATACGAAAAGGCATTTTAAAAAAGTTTGTGACTTACTTTCCTCCCCAGAAGATTTTGGTTGTGATCACCAGGCTGGAACGTCTGCGGGCAAAAAAAAATTGAATTATTATTAATAATTTGCTATTAATTTGTTATTAATAATTAATAATTTGTTATTAATTTGCATCCTGTTGGATGATTACCTCCATCCTTTCTTCTTGATGATATTCCCCAAGACAACCTCAGCCCTGGAAAGAAGAAAAAGAGATATAACATAACACGAGATATAATAGTAATTCTATCTTCCTGCCTGGAATGAAGAACGGGGCTGGACTGGATGACCTCTGGGGGTCCCTTCCAACTTCCAATATGATCATGACGATGCTGACGATAAGATGATAATTATAGATAATAATATAATAGTAATTTTCTATCTTCTTGACTGACAGAAGATGACTGGATGACCTCTGGGGGTCCCTTCCAACTCTAGAAGTCTAATAATAATAATAATAATTAATAATGGATAATAATATAATAGCAATTTCCTATCTTCTTGCCTGGCAGAAGACGGTTGGATGGATGACGTCTGGGGGTCCCTTCCAACTCTAGGAGTTTAATAATAATAATAATAATAATAATGGATAATAATAGTAATTTCCTATCTTCTTGACTGACAGAAGGAGGTTGGACTGGATGACCTCTGGGGGTCCCTTCCAACTCTAGAAGTCTAATAATAATAATAATAATAATAATAATAATGGATAATAATATAATAGTAATTTTCTATTGTTTTGCCTAGCAGAAGGCAGTTGGATTGGATGACCTCTGGGGTCCCTTCCAACTCTAGGAGTTTAATAATAATAATAATAATGGATAATAATAGTAATTTCCTATCTTCTTGCCTGGCGGAAGGAGGTTGGACTGGATGACCTCTGGGGTCCCTTCCAACTCTAGGAGTCTAATAATAATAATAATAATAAATAATAATAATAATAATGGATAATAATATAATAGCAATTTTCGGTCTTCTTGACTGACAGAAGATGGCTGGACTGGATGACCTCTGGGGGTCCCTTCCAAGTCTAGGAGTCTAATAATAATAATAATAATAATAATAATAATAATAATAATGGATAATAATAGTAATTTCCTATCTTCTTGACTGACAGAAGGAGGTTGGACTGGATGACCTCTGGGGGTCCCTTCCAACTCTAGGAGTCTAATAATAATAATAATAATTAATAATGGATAATAATATAATAGCAATTTCCTATCTTCTTGACTGACAGAAGACGGTTGGACTGGATGACCTCTGGGGGTCCCTTCCAACTCTAGGAGTCTAATAATAATAATAATAATAATAATAATAATAATGGATAATAATAGTATTTTCCTATCTTCTTGATGGACAGAAGACGGTTGGATTGGATGACGTCTGGGGGTCCCTTCCAACTCTAGTAATATTACTAATAATAATAATAATAATATAGCAATAATTTCCTATCTTCTTGACTGACAGAAGACGGTTGGACTGGATGACCTCTGGGGGTCCCTTCCAACTCTAGGAGTCTAATAATAATAATAATAATAATAATAATAATAATAATAATAATAATGGATAATAATAGTAATTTCCTATCTTCTTGACTGACAGAAGGAGGTTGGACTGGATGACCTCTGGGGGTCCCTTCCAACTCTAGGAGTCTAATAATAATAATAATAATTAATAATGGATAATAATATAATAGCAATTTCCTATCTTCTTGACTGACAGAAGACGGTTGGACTGGATGACCTCTGGGGGTCCCTTCCAACTCTAGGAGTCTAATAATAATAATAATAATAATAATTAATAATGGATAATAATATAATAGCAATTTCCTATCTTCTTGACTGACAGAAGACGGTTGGACTGGATGACCTCTGGGGGTCCCTTCCAACTCTAGGAGTCTAATAATAATAATAATAATAATAATAATAATAATGGATAATAATAGTATTTTCCTATCTTCTTGATGGACAGAAGACGGTTGGATTGGATGACGTCTGGGGGTCCCTTCCAACTCTAGTAATATTACTAATAATAATAATAATAATATAGCAATTTTCGGTCTTCTTGACTGACAGAAGGAGGTTGGACTGGATGACCTCTGGGGGTCCCTTCCAACTCTAGGAGTCTAATAATAATAATAATAATAATAATAATAATAATAACAAATAATAATAATGGATAATAATATAGTAATTTCCTATCTTCTTGCCTGGCAGAAGATGGTTGGACTGGATGACCTCTGGGGGTCCCTTCCAACTCTAGGAGTTTAATAATAATAATAATAATAATAACAAATAATAATAATGGATAATAATATAGTAATTTCCTATCTTCTTGCCTGGCAGAAGATGGTTGGACTGGATGACCTCTGGGGGTCCCTTCCAACTCTAGGAGTTTAATAATAATAATAATAATAATAATAATAATAATAATAATAATAATGGATAATAATAGTAATTTCCTATCTTCTTGACTGACAGAAGACGGTTGGACTGGATGACATCTGGGGGTCCCTTCCAACTCTAGGAGTCTAATAATAATAATAAATAATAATAATAATAATAATAATAATAATGGATAATAATATATTAGCAATTTCCTATCTTCTTGCCCGCATTACACTATATAACAAAAATGTCACATTTCTTTTTTAAATCAAATAAAGGGGGTGCGACTATTACATGATGAAAAAAAATGGAAAAATATTTGCTCCTGGTTTGAAAGTGTTATTTCTTGTTAAATTGTGTGCCTATGCCTGCATTACACTATGCAACAAAAATGTCACATTTCTTTTTTAAATCAAATAAAGGGGGTGCGACTATTACGTGAGGAAAAAAAGATTGAAAAATGTTTCTCTTCCTGGTTTGAAAGTGTTATTTCCTGCTTCATTGGGTGGCCTTGACTTGGAAAGTAGTTGTCCTACTCCAGAAACTCAAACAAATGGGTGGAGAACGGAAATCATAGTACGGACACCATCAAGGGACATCTAGACTGACCCCCTTCTTCTGGGCAGAAAGGCACCTCCCAAACTCTCCCGAAATCCATTTGCCACCTACTGCCTCTTTCTAAGGGCTCCTGGGGGTGAATGGAAGGGGGATCCACAAGGAAGGCCCTGCAATGGGCGTTGCACTCACTTCCCTGCGGCGTAGACCTCGGCCGTGTCGAAGAGATTGATCCCGTTGTCGTAGGCCAGCGTCATCAGCTGCTCTGCCATCTGCAAGAGAACCAACAAAACTGCCTCGTTGCACCTTCCATTCCCAGATTTATCATCCCTAAGACCCTACGCCATTCACAGTTGCCATAGGACAACACACACCCATTGATGCACAGAGGGCAAGGAATGAATGAGATGAACTTGATCTCTTAACACACGAAGGCAAAGCTAAACAAGGCTGCCTCTGGTTGAGAACTGAAGGTGAGGAGGTCTCTATTTTGGAGGCATAACCTATTAAAGTTCCTATTCAGTTCATGGGGTTAGTGTAGGACTACACACACATTGATGCATAGAGGAAGGTGAATGAATGAGATGAACTTGATCTCTTAACACACGAAGGCAAGGCTAAGCAGGGCTGCCTCTGGTTGAGAACTGAAGGTGAGGAGGTCTCTATTTTGGAGGCAAAACCTATTAAAGTTCCTATTCAATTCATGGGGTTGGTGTAAGATACACACACATTGATGCATAGAGGACAGGGAATGAACGAGATGAACTTGATCTCTTAACACACAAAGGCAAGGCTAAGCAGGGCTGCCTCTGGTTGAGAATTGGAGGGGGAGGAGGTCTCTGTTTTGGAGGCAAAACCTATTAACATTCCTATTCAATTCATGGGGCTGGTGTAAGACTACACACACATTGATGCATAGAGGACAGGGAATGAATGAGATGAACTTGATCTCTTAACACATGAAGGCAAAGCTAAACAAGGCTGCCTATGTTTGGGAATTGGAGGAGAGGACGTCTCTATTTTGGAGACAAAACCTATTAAAGTTCCTATTCAATTCACGGGGTTGGTCTAAGACTACACACACATTGATGCATAGAGGACAGGGAATGAATGAGATGAACTTGATCTCTTAACACACAAAGGCAAAGCTAAACAAGGCTGCCTATGTTTGGGAATTGGAGGAGAGGAGGTCTCTATTTTGGAGGCAAAACCTATTAAAGTTCCTATTGAATTCATGGGGTTGGTGTAAGACTACACACACATTGATGCATAGAGGACAGGGAATGAATGAGATGAACTTGATCTCTTAACACATGAAGGCAAAGCTAAGCAGGGCTGCCTCTGGTTGAGAATTGGAAGGGGAGGAGTTCTATATTTTGGAGGCAAAACCTATTAAAGTCCCTATTCAATTTGCATAGAGAACAGGGAATGAATGAGATGAACTTGATCTCTTAACACATGAAAGCTGCCTCTGGATGAGAATTGGAGGGGGAGGAGGTCTCTATTTTGGAGGCAAAACCTATTAAAGTTCCTATTCAATTTGCATAGAGAACAGGGAATGAATGAGATGAACTTGATCTCTTAACACATGAAAGCTGCCTCTGGTTGAGAATTGGAGGGGGAGGAAGTCTCTATTTTGGAGGCAAAACCTATTGAAGGAAATATAGTAAATTCAATTGATGARTAGAGGAAGGGGAATGAATGAGATGAACTTGACAGATCAATGAACTTGGATTTGAAAGCCTTACCTCGTCTGTTATCTGCCCTCCAAACGTCACCCATGTCCCTGCAAATCAAGAGAAAGAAGAAAGGATGTATATACATGGATGCGGATAAATATAATATATATAGGGAGAAACAAGCATAATTAAACGATGGGAGGATCAATATTTATTTGTTTATTTCCTCCATTTCTACCCCGCCCTTCTCCCACAAAGGGACTCAGGAAAGCTTAGTCTATCTATCTATCTATCTATCTATCTATTTATCTTCGTGTGCCTTCGTGTGTTAAGAGATCAAGTTCATCTCATCAATCTAAATAGCTATCTATCTAAATATCTAAGCATTTACCTATCTATGTATCCATCTAATCTATCTATCTATATATTTATCTATCCATCTAAACTATCTATCAATCTAAACTATCAATCTAAATATCTATCCATCTAAATAGCTATCCATCTATCCATCTATCAATCAAATTCTCTAAATATTTATCAATCTCTATCTCTACCGAAATATCTATCTAGCTATCTAAATATCTATTGATTTATATCTAAATTTCCATCAATCTAAATACCTATCCATCTATTTATCAATCTATCAATCAAACTATCTAAATATTTATCAATCTCTTATCTCTCTATCTATACCTAAATATCTATCTATCTATCTATCTATCTATCTATCTATCTATCTATCTATCTAAATATCTATCAATTTAAATACCTATCCATCAATCAATCAATCAATCAATAAAACTGTCTAAATATCTAACTATCTAAATATTTATCAATCACTAACAATCTATGTCTAAATAGCTATCTAGCGATCTATCAAACTATCTATTGATCTCTAAATATCCATCTAAATACCCATCTATCTATCTATCTATCTATCTATCTATCTATCTAACTATTTAAATATTTATGAATCTCTATCTATGTCTAAATAGCTATCTAGGGATCTATCAGACTATCTATTGATCTCTATCTAAATATCTATCCATTTAAATACCTATCTATCTATCTATCTATCTATCTATCTATCTATCTATCTATCTATCTAAATATCTATCCACCTACCAAACTATCTAAATATGTATCAATCTCTATATATCTATGTCTAAATAGCTATCTAGCAATCTATCAAACTATCTATTGATCTCTATCTATCTAAATATCTATCAGTTTAAATACCTATCCATCCATCTATCAATCAAACTATCTAAATATCTATCCATCTATCAAACTATCTATACATCTATCTATCTATCTATCTCTATATCTAAATAGCTATCTATGAAATTATCTAAATATTTATTGATCTATATTTATCAAAATTATGTAACCATCTATCAAAATATCTATATCTATCGAAATATCAATCTCTATCTATTGATCTACCCTATCTATCTATCTATCTATCTATCTATCTATCTATCTATCTATCTATCTTCCTATCTATCTTATCTATCTATCTATCTATCTATCTATCTATCTATCTATCTATCTATCTATCTATCTATCTATCTATCTATCTATCTATCTATCTATCTATCTATCTATCTATCTATCTATCTATCGAACTAACTAAATATCTATTCATCTAAATATCTATCCATCCATCAATCAAACTATCTATACATCTATCTATCTATCTATCTCTATATCTAAATAGCTATCTATGAAATTATCTAAATATTTATTGATCTATATTTATCAAAATTATGTAACCATCTATCAAAATATCTATATCTATCGAAATATCAATCTCTATCTATTGATCTACCCTATCTATCTATCTATCTATCTATCTATCTATCTATCTATCTATCTATCTATCTTCTTATCTATCTCTTAAGGGTTGGACTGGATGGACTTTGGGGTCTCTTCCCACTCTAGGATTCTCTCTCTGTCTCTCTCCCTATCTATCTGTCTCTATCTATCTATCTATCTATCTATCTATCTATCTATCTATCTATCTCTAAAAGGTTGGACTGGATGGACTTTGGGGTCCCTTCCAACTCTGGGAGTCTATCTCTCTTGATCTCTCTCTCTCTCTATTTATCCATCTATCTATCTCTTAAGAGTTGGACTGGATGGCCTTTGGGGTCTCTTCCAGCTCTAGGATTCTCTATCTATCTATCTATCTATCGATTCATCTAAACATCTATCCATCCATCAATCAATCTATCAATCAAACTATCTATTTATCTATCTATATCTATCTATTTCTAAATAGCTATCTATGAAAGTATCTAAATATGGCCCTTGGGTTCTCTTCCAACTCTAGGAATCTATCTATCTATCTATCTATCTATCTATCTATCTATCTATCTATCTATCTATCTTATCTATCTATCTATCTTCTGTCTATCTATCTATCTATCTATCTATCTATCTATCTATTATCTATCTATCTATCTAATCTATCTTATCTATCTATCTAATGTTGGACTGGATGACGGCCTTTGGGTTCTCATTGCATACTACTAGGAATGCTATCTGATCTATCTATTCTCTCTCTGCTCACCGCTTCTGCTTCTCCTCTTGCTTGGCGTCTCGATTCGGGTCTTCTCTTCTCTCTCCATCCATTCCATACGAAAAAAAATATATAAAAATACATTACAATGCTTCTAACATTTCTCTCTCTATCTATCTATCTATCTATCTATCTATCTATCTATCTATCTATCTATCTATCTATCGATTCATCTAAACATCTATCCATCCATCAATCAATCTATCAATCAAACTATCTATTTATCTATCTATATCTATCTATTTCTAAATAGCTATCTATGAAAGTATCTAAATATGGCCCTTGGGTTCTCTTCCAACTCTAGGAATCTATCTATCTATCTATCTATCTATCTATCTATCTCTATCTATCTATCTATCTATCTATCCATCTATCTATTCTTCTATCTATCTATCTATATCTATCTATCTATCTATCTATCTATCTATCTATCTATCTATCTCTTATGGGTTGGACTGGATGACCCTTGGGTTCTCTTCCAACTCTAGAAATCTACTTATCTGTCTATCTATCTATCTATCTATCTATCTATCTATCTATCTATCTATCTATCTATCTACATATTGATCTATCTATCTTATCTATCTATCTATCTATCTATCTATCTATCTATCTATCTACATATTGATCTATCTATCTATCTATCTATCTATCTATCTATCTATCTATCTATCTATCTATCTACTTATTGATCTATTTATCTATCTATCTATCTATCTATCTATCTCTATATATATATATATATAAATATATGCAAATACTGGTATTAAAAAAGGCAACAACAGCAGGAATATGCTTTCGAAATCCACCACATTTCTGGTCCTAAGCACTGAATTGATCGAGAGGCCGGTTTACCTAATCCGAGGCACGACACCCTCAGTCCCGACTTGCCGAGGTTTCTAGGTGAAGGAGGAGAAGAAACAATAATATTATTTGAGGTTATTAATAATAGGACATCAACAAAAGGCTAGGAACTTTCACTAAGAGGCAGGCCCACTTCGCCAGAAATAGGCGGATGAGCGCTGCCCGCCGGCGCTTCGTGGCGCGGAGCAGATGTCACCCCGGCTTCCCTCGGCTTTGCGAGTTTCCAAAAAAAGAAGAGGAAGGAAGAACGAACGAACGAACGAAAGAGAAAACAAACATCCAGATGGGGGAACCTCGGTGACTGGAAACGACTCCTCAGGGTTGAAAGGCAACATCGATCATTTCCAAGTACCTTGATTGCACTGCGGTCTATTTATAAAATTATATGGTTGTGGGTGGACTACAACTCCCATCGTTCTTTATCATATCTCTGTCCCATCAACCCAAGGCCTGGGTGTGGGTGGACTACAACTCCAATCGTTCTCTATCATCCCCTGTTAACCCAAGACCTGTGTGGACTACAACTCCCATCATTCTCTATTATATCCCCCCATTAACCCAAGACCTGGGTGTGTGGGTAGACTACAATTCCCATCATTCTCTCTCATACCCCTCCCATTGACCCAGGTGTGGGTGGACTACAACTCCCATCGCCCAAGATCTGGTGTGGGTAGACAACAACTCCTATCATTTTCTATCACACCCTCTTACATTAAACCAAATCATGGACTACAGCCCCCATCATTCTCTATCATAGCTCTCTTCCATTAACCCAAGACCTGGGTGTGGGTGGACTGCAACTCCAATAGTTCTCTATCATRCCCATTAACCCAAGACCTGTGTGGACTACAACTCCCATRYTTCTCTATTATATCCCCCTCCCATGAACCCAAGACCTGGGTGTGGGTGGACTACAACTCCCACCATTCTCTATTATTTTCCCCTCCTGTTAACCCAAGAACCGGCCATGGGTGGACCACAACTCCCATCATTATCATATTCCCCTCCCATTATCCCCAGACCTAGTTGTGGGTGGACTACAACTCCAGTCATTTTCTATCATCCCCTGCTAACCCAAAACCTGTGTAGACTACAACTCACATCCTTCTCTATTATATCCCCCTCCCATGAACCCAAGACCTGGGTGTAGGTGGACTACAACTCCCACCATTCTCTATTATTTCCCCATCCTGTTAACCCAAGAACCGGCCATGGGTGGACCACAACTCCCATCATTATCATATTCCCCTCGCATTATCCCCAAACCTGGTTGTGGGTGGACTACAACTCCAGTCATTTTCTATCATCCCCTGCTAACCCAAAACCTGTGTAGACTACAACTCCCATCATTCTCTATTATATCCCCCTCCCATMAACCCAAGACCTGGGTGTGGGTAAACTACAARTCCCARCATTCTCTCTCATACCCCTCCCATTAACCCAGGTGTAGGTGGACTACAATTRCCATCATTATCTTATCTCCTCCTCCTGTTAACCCATTAACCCTGGATGTTYGTGGTCTATAACCCCCATCAGTCTTCTTCAACTTTCCTCTCATTGACCCAAGACCTGGGTGTGTGTGGACTACAACTCCAATCGTTCTCGATCATCCCGTTAAACCAAGACCTGTGTGGACTACAACTCCCAGCATTCTCTATTATATCCCGCTCCCATTAGCCTAAGACCTGGGTGTGGGTAGACTACAATTCCCATCATTCTCTCTCATACCCCTCCCATTGACCCAGGTGTGGGTGGACTACAACTCCCATCATCCTCTCTCAACTTCCCTCTCATTAACCCAAGACCTGGGTGTGAGTCGACAACTCCCATCATTTTCTATCACACCTCCTTACATTAAACCAAATCATGGACTACAGCCCCCATCATTCTATATCACCCTCTCCCATTGAACCAAGACCTGGGTGTGGGTGGACTACAACTCCCATCACCCTCTCTCAACTTCCCTCTCATTTAACCCAAGACCTGGATGTGGGTAGATGACAACTCCAGTCATTTTCTATCACATCCTCTTACATTAAACCAAACCATGGACTACAGCCCCCATCATTCTATATCACCCTCTCCCATTGAACCAAGACCTGGGTGTGCGTGGACTACAGCTCTCACCATTCTCTATAATTTACCCCTCCTGTTAACCCAAGAACCGGCCGTGGGTGGACCACAACTCCTATTATTCTCTATCGTACCCCTAAGATCATAGATGTGTGTGGACTATAACTCCCATTATTCTCTATCACCCCCAATAACTCAAGACTTGGGTGTGGATGGATGACAACTTCCATCATTCTCCATCATACTCCCTAACATTAACCCAAGGCATGGTTGTGGGTGGACTACAACTCCCATCACCCCCAATGCCCATTAATTTAAGCTGGATCATGATAGGTCTGTGTGTCAACAGATCCAACATCCATCTGATTCACGCAGCTCTCTGGAAATGGCTGGACTACAACTCCCATCATCCTGTATCAGCCCCCCCCCCCAAGCTGATTTTAATCTGAATTACGAAGGGGATGTGTGCCAAGTTTAGTCCCGATCCATCGAGGCACATAGCAGCCTTTGTGGATCAAACATACGTACAAAAGTACTCAAGTCCCATTCCACAAATGCCAAAAACGACGACCCATCGGATAGGAATTCGTCGGGGAACCAGAGCAAAATGTGCTGTAGTAGTCTATCTCTTTTGCCGTTGAATAAACTTTCCCCATGTTTTAAAGATGGAACCAATTAAGAAGTAATGATATTTATAACCCGGGAACGAACATCGTGTTACGTAGTGTCACCGCCTTGAGGCACCCAGAGCCCGGTTGCTCCTGTCACTTTCTGCACACCAACGCGGCCGCGGACACAGATCTCGTGTGGCGGGTCTGTCGCCTTTCGGCGCTCGCTGACCTTCCGCGCCAAAGCCCTCCCGCCCAGGGCAACCGAGTCACGACAGCTTCCAGAAAGGCCTCCTGCCTGATGAAGCGGCCGCCTCATCAGAAGCTTCTCCTACCCAGGGCTCCCCGTCTTCGTTTGTGTCATTCACACTCCATAAAACTGAAGTTTCTGGAGTAGAACAACTAAACAGGATTTTTTTTCAAATTTTGTTCATCATGTAATAGTCGCACTTGTCACAAGAAACTTTGTTTCTGCGGGAGGGACACCACCCTGCTCTCGTTTTTCAATGAATGTCTCATCGTGGCAACCATAAAACTGAAGTTTCTGGAGTAGAACAACTAAACAGGAATTAAACAGGATTTTTTTTTCAAATTTTGTCATCATGTAATAGTCGCACTTGTCACAAGAAACTTTGTTTCTGCGGGAGGGACATCACCCTGCTCTCGTTTTTCAATGAATGTCTCATCGTGGCAACCATAAAACTGAAGTTTCTGGAGTAGAACAACTAAACAGGAATTAAACAGGATTTTTTTTCAAATTTTGTTCATCATGTAATAGTCGCACTTGTCACAAGAAACTTTGTTTCTGCGGGAGGGACACCACCCTGCTCTCGTTTTTCAATGAATGTCTCATCGTGGCAACCATAAAACTGAAGTTTCTGGAGTAGAACAACTAAACAGGAATTAAACAGGATTTTTTTTCAAATTTTGTTCATCATGTAATAGTCGCACTTGTCACAAGAAACTTTGTTTCTGCGGGAGGGACATCACCCTGCTCTCGTTTTTCAATGAATGTCTCATCATGGCAACCATAAAACTGAAGTTTCTGGAGTAGAACAACTAAACAGGAATTAAACAGGATTTTTTTTTCAAATTTTGTTCATCATGAAATAGTCGCACTTGTCACAAGAAATATAATGTGTAGATTGATATGTGTGGGTATGAGTGGAGTTGAATGACGGAAAGAATGAATGAATGAGAGGTAATGATTTTTGGCGACAACATTCTAAAAGATTAAGGCAGTGCGACTATTACATGAAGAACTAAACTTTGTTTCTGCGGGAGGGACATCACCCTGCTCTCGTTTTCCAATGAATATCTCATTGTGGCAACCATAAATCTGAAGTTTCTGTAGTAGAACAACTACTTTAAAAGTAAGGACAGCACAACTAAAGAGGATTTTCCCCCAAATTTTGTTCATCATGTAATAGTCGCACTTGTCTTTCAATGAATATCTCATTGTGGCAACCATAAATCTGAAGTTTCTGGAGTAGACCAACTACTTTAAAAGTAAGAACACACAACTAAACAGGATTTTTTTTTCAAATTTTGTTCATCATGTAATAGTCGCACTTGTCTTTCACCGAATATCTCATTGTGGCAACCATAAGTCTGGTTTCTGGAGTAGAACAACTACTTTAAAAGAAAGGACAGCACAACTAAACAGGATTTTTTTTCTCAATTTTTTTTCATCATGTAATAGTCACACTTGTCTTTCAATGAATATCTCATTGTGGCAACCACAAAACTGAAGTTTCTGGAGCAGAACAACTACTTTAAAAGTCAGGACAGCACAACTAAACAGAATCCCCCCCCCCAAAATTTTGTTCATCATGTAATAGTCGCACTTGTCACAAGAAATATAATATGGATTTGATCTGCGTGGGTATGAGTAGAGTTGAATGATGGAATGAATTAATGAGAGCTCATAAGAGACACCATTCTAAAAGATTAAGGCAGCGTTTCTCAACCTGGGGGTCGGGACCCCTGAGGGGGTCGCGAGGGGGTGTCAGAGGGGTCGTCAAACACCGTCAGGAAACACAGTGTTTTCTGTTGGTCATAGGGTTCTGTGTGAAGAAAGGAGATTCCATCTGAACATGAGGAAGAACTTCCTGACTGTGAGAGCCGTTCAGCAGTGGAACTCTCTGCCCCGGAGTGTGGTGAAGGTTCCTTCTTTGGAAGCTTTTAAACAGAGGCTGGATGGCCATCTGTCAGGGGTGATTTGAATGCAATATTCCTGCTTCTTGGCAGGGGGTTGGACTGGATGGCCCATGAGGTCTCATCCAACTCTTTGATTCTATAAGTTTGTCCCAATTCTATCGTTGGTGGGATTCAGAATGCTCTCTGATTGTAAGTGAACTATAAAACCCAGCAATTACAACTCTCAAATGACAAGGTCTATCTATATTTATGACTCGATGGCTTTTTGTCAGGAGGGCTCTGATTAGATTTTCCTGCCCTGGTGAAGAGTTGGACTGGATGGCTTTAAGTATTTTCTGTTGGTCATGGGGCTTCTGTGTGGGAAGTTTGCCCCATTTCTGTCATTTGTGTGTTTCAGAATGCTCTTTAATTGTAGTGAACTATAAAACCAAGCAACTAAAACGCCTAAATGTCAAGGTCTATTTTCCCCAAACTCCACCAGTGTTCACATTTGGGCATATTGAGTATTGTGTCAAGTTTGGTCCAGATCCATCATTGTTTGAGTCCACAGTGCTCTCTGGATGTAGGTGAACTACAACTCCAAAACTCAAGGCCAATGCCCACCAAACCCTTCCAGTGTGTTCTGTTGGTCATGGGAGTTCTGTGTGCCAACGATTCTGTCGTTCGTGAGGTTCAAAATACTCTTTGATTGTAGGTGAACTATAAATCCCAGTAACTACAACTCCCAAATGTCAACGTCTATTTCCTCCAAACTCCATCTGTGTTCATATTTGGGCATATTGAGTGCTTGTGCCAAGTTTGGTCCAGATCCATCTTTGTTTGAGTCTACAGTGCTCTCTGAATGTAGGTGAATTACAACTCCCAAACTCAAGGTCAATGCCCACCAAACCCTTCCATTTCTGTTGGTCATGGGAGTTCTGTGGGCCAAGTTTGGTTCAATTCCATCATTGGTGGAGTTCAGAATGCTCTTTGATTGTTGGTGAACTATTAATCCCAACAACTCCCAAATGTCAAGGTCTATTTGCCCAAACTCCACCAGTGTTTCACATTTGGGCATATTTAGTATTTGTGCCAAGTTTGTTCCAGATCCATCATTGTGTGAGTCCACAGTGCTCTCTGGATGTAGGTGAACTACAATTCCCAACTCAAGGTCAATGTCCACCAAACCCTTCCAGTTTTTTCTGTTGGTCATGGGAGCTCTGTGTGCTAAGTTTGGCCCAATTCCATCATTGGTGGAGTTCAGAATGCTCTTTGATTGTAGGTAAACTATAAATCCCAGCAACTACAATTCCCAAATGACAAAATCAATTTTGTTTTAGTGGAGAACATACATTGGGTTGTTAGGTGTATCGTATCCAAATTTGGTGCCAATTCCCCCAGTGGTTTTTGAGTTCTGATGGTATCACAAACTAACATTACATTTTTATTTATATAGATTTACTGAACTGTAATTAAAAGTTGCTAATGAGAACTGAAATAGTAAATGGTGATAAGAACTATGACAGTGATAAGAGGAATGTTTACAATGTTAAGAAGGAAGTCAACACAAGGTTAAAGCCAATCAAGAAGCACCAATAATTTACTAATTCACTAATTTACAATTTTGGGACGACATCAATAGACTATTCCTATAAAAGACTCGATCTAATAATTCTCAAGTGTGACGGACAGTGATGGTGTATGGAGAGAAAGCGGAAATATCTCACTGAACTATAACTTCCAGCTTGAAATTAATGCAGTTTAACCAACTTGAGCTGCCACGGCTCAATGCTTTGGAACCTGGGGAGATGTAGTTCAATGTAGTCTCAGCCAATTTGAAGTCAATGCTATGGAATGTGGGGAGATATAGTTCAATGCAGTCTGAGCTGACTTGAACTCAATGCTTTGGAACCTGGGGAGATATAGTTCAATGCAGTCTGAGCCGATCTGAACTCAATGCTATGGAACCTGGGGAGATATCGTTCAATGCAGTCTGAGACGACTTGAACTCAATGCTATGGAGCCTGGAGAAATATAGTTCAATGTAGTCTGAGACAACTTTGGAACCTGGGGAGATATAGTTCAATGCAGTCTGAGCTGACTTGAATTCAATGCTTTGGAACCTGGGGAGATATAGTTCAATGTAGTCTGAGCTGACTTGAATTCAATGCTTTGGAACCTGGGGAGATATAGTTCAATGCAGTCTGAGCTGACTTGAATTCAATGCTTTGGAACCTGGGGAGATATAGTTCAATGCAGTCTGAGCTGACTTGAATTCAATGCTTTGGAACCTGGGGAGATATAGTTCAATGCAGTCTGAGCTGACTTGAATTCAATGCTTTGGAACCTGGGGAGATATAGTTCAATGTAGTCTGAGCCAACTTTGGAACCTGGGGAGATATAGTTCAATGCAGTCTGAGCTGACTTGAACTCAAAGCTTTGGAACATGGGGACATATAGTTCAATGTAGTCTGAGCCGACTTTGGCACCTGGGGAGATATAGTTCAATGCAGTCTGAGCCGATCTGAACTCAATGCTATGGAACCTGGGGAGATATTGTTCAATGCAGTCTGAGACGACTTGAACTCAATGCTATGGAGCCTGGAGAAATATAGTTCAATGTAGTCTGAGACAACTTTGGAACCTGGGGAGATATAGTTCAATGCAGTCTGAGCTGACTTGAATTCAATGCTTTGGAACCTGGGGAGATATAGTTCAATGCAGTCTGAGCTGACTTGAATTCAATGCTTTGGAACCTGGGGAGATATAGTTCAATGCAGTCTGAGCTGACTTGAATTCAATGCTTTGGAACCTGGGGAGATATAGTTCAATGCAGTCTGAGCTGACTTGAATTCAATGCTTTGGAACCTGGGGAGATATAGTTCAATGCAGTCTGAGCTGACTTGAATTCAATGCTTTGGAACCTGGGGAGATATAGTTCAATGTAGTCTGAGCCAACTTTGGAACCTGGGGAGATATAGTTCAATGCAGTCTGAGCTGACTTGAACTCAAAGCTTTGGAACATGGGGACATATAGTTCAATGTAGTCTGAGCCGACTTTGGCACCTGGGGAGATATAGTTCAATGCAGTCTGAGCCGACTTGAACTCAATGCTATGGAGCATGGAGAGATATAGTTCAATGCCCTTGGAGCTGATTTGAACTCAAAGCTTTGGAACATGGGGAGATATAGTTCAATGTAGTCTGAGCCGACTTGAACTCAATGCTATGGAACCTGGGAATGTATAGTTCAATGTAGTCTGAGCCAAGTTTGGAACCTGGTGAGATATAGTTCAATGTAGTCTGAGCCGACTTTGTTACCTGGGGAGATATAGTTCAATGCAGTCTGAGCTGACTTGAACTCAAGGCTTTGGAAACTGGGGAGATATAGTTCAATGCCCTCTGACCCGATTTGAACTCAATGCTTTGGAACCTGGGGAGATATAGTTCAATGTAGTCTGAGCCAACTTTGGAACCTGGGGAGATATAGTTCAATGCAGTCTGAGCCGATCTGAATGCAATGCTATGGAACCTGGGGAGATATAGTTCAATGTAGTCTGAGCCAACTTTGGAACCTGGGGAGATATAGTTCAATGCAGTCTGAGCCAACCTGAACTCAATGCTATGGAATCCAGAGAGATATAGTTCAATGCAGTCTGATTTGACTTGAACTCAGTGCTATGGTATCTGTGGAAATATAGTTCAATGCAGTCAGAACAGACTTAGAACAATCAGGTCATGGGAGTGCTATGGAATCTGGGAAGATTTACATGGACGTAGTTTCCCTTTCTCAATGTTATGGACCTTGGGGTGATTTACATGGACGTAGTTTCACCTTCCCAATGCTATGGAATCTGGGGGAGATTTACATGGACGTAGTTTCACCTTCCCAATGTTATGGAATGTGGGGAGATTTACATGGACGTAGTTTCACCTTCCCAATGTTATGGAATGTGGGGAGATTTACATGGACGTAGTTTCACCTTCCCAATGTTATGGAATCTGGGGAGATTTACATGGACGTAGTTTCACCTTCCCAATGCTATGGAATCTGGGGGAGATTTACATGGACGTAGTTTCACCTTCCCAATGCTATGGAATCTGGGGAGATAGACATGGACGTAGTTTCACCTTCCCAATGTTATGGAATGTGGGGAGATTTACATGGACGTAGTTTCACCTTCCCAATGTTATGGAATGTGGGGAGATTTACATGGACGTAGTTTCATCTTCCCAATGCTATGGAATCTGGAGGGATTGACATGGACATAGTTTCCCCTTCCCAATGTTATGGAATATGGGGCGATTTACAAGGACGTAGTTTCACCTTCCCAATGTTATGGAATCTGGGGTGATTTACATGGACGTAGTTTCGCCTTCCCATTGCTATGGAATCTGGAGGGATTGACATGGACATAGTTTCCCCTTCCCAATGCTATGGAATCTGGGAGGATTTACATAGACGTAGTTTCCCCTTCTCAATGCTATTGAATCTGGGAGGATTTACATGGACGTAGTTTCCCCTTCTCTGCCAAAGAGGGCCAATGACAGCTCCTGGGATCTCATAGCATTGGTGTGTAGACGCAGCATATGCGCACCCTACCTGTACTTCATTCCGCTCTGTTTCGAACCGCCGGCCTCGCTGGCCACATGGGTGTTCTGCGCGGAGAGGTGTCCCAAACTGCGGGCCACCATGGCCACCGCCCGGAAGCGTCCCCGAGTGCTGGGGCTGCTGCTGCTGGCATTCTGCCGGTTGAGCCGGTCCTCAGCGCTCCGGCTCTTGATGTTGTGGTCCGAACACACGAACGAGACTTGCATGGCGGCAAGATCCCCGGTCTGTGCGGGTGTAAATGCTTCCCTTGCCTCTCCAAAAAGATCCGAAGACTTGGACGGTCAAAGAAGAACTCCTTATTTTCCCAAAACGAGGAAACTCAAAACGGATTCACCCCATTATTATCGAACCGTCACTGTTTTCAAGGTCGAATGGCGACTGTTTCCATACGAGTACGTACAACTCCCTAAAACTCCGCAAAATTCGACCGGGCTCGGACCAAATCTCCTTTTGATTCCGGTTTCTTGGAATACTTCTGGAAAGATTTGGAATCCAATTCAGCTGGTCTCAGACCCAATTCTGGCTTGACATCTGCTTTCGGAGTTGAATGACGACCGTTCAATTCGTAATATTCCGAGAAATTCGACCAAGTTCAGACCAAATCCCCTTTTGATTCCAGTTTCTTGGAATACTGCTTGAAAGATTGGGAACCAAATTCAGCTGGTCTCAGACCCAATTCTGGTTTGATATAACTATCAAATTGACACTGTTTTTGGGGTTAAATGACGACCGTTCAATTCGTAATATTCCGAAAAATCGACCAAGTTCAGACCAAATCCCCTTTTGATTCCGGTTTCTTGGAATACTTCTGGAAAGATTTGGAATCCAATTCAGCTGGTCTCAGACCCAATTCTGGCTCGACATCGTTATCTAACTGACACTGTTTTTGGAGTTGAATGACGACCGTTCAATTCGTAATATTTCGAAAAATTCGACCAAGTTCAGACCAAATCCACTTTTGATTCCGGTTTCTTGGAATACTTCTGGAAAGATTTGGAATCCAATTCAGCTGGTCTCAGACCCAATTCTGGCTTGACATCGTTATCTAACTGACACTGTTTTCGGAGTTGAATGACGACCGTTCAATTCGTAATATTCCGAGAAATTCGACCACGCTCGGACAAAATCTCCCTTGATTCCAGTTCGTTGAAAGATTTGGAGTCGAATTCAGCCGGTCTCAGACCCAATTCTGGTTAGACTTGTTTCTTGGCTTCCTGTCCAACTATTTCACCCAGAAATTCGGGGTAAAATTCAGACCGAATCTGCGTTCGACTCTTGTTTCGGCTTCAAGTTGAAATATTTCACCCAGAAATCTAGGTAATAATATTCAGCCAAACGGACACCCAATCCTTCTTGACGCCGAGATGAAATATTTCACCCAGAAATCTAGGTAATATTCAGCCAAACTGACACCCAATCCTTCTTGACGCCGAGATGAAATATTTCACCCAGAAATCTAGGTAATAATATTCAGCCAAACTGACACCCAATCCTTCTTGGTGCCGAGATGAAATATTTCAACCAGAATTGGGGGAAAATTCTGCCGGAGTTTAATCTGAATTCCCTTTTGACTCCAGTTCGGATCGAAGTTGAAACGTTTCCACGAGAGATTCGGGGAGGAGGGAAATTTGTTTGGTCTCAGACCGAAATCCCGTTCGACTCCAGTTCGAGTTGAAGTATTTCACGTGGAATTTTCGAGGGAAATTCAATCAGATTCAGATTCCGGTCGAAGAATTGCTCCTGCCACGGCACTCTTCTCTCTTCCTCCTTCCTCCTTCTCTCTTCCTCCTTTGTCGCTCTCTGCAAAAGGGACCGTGGTCTCAACCAACACAGCGACGACGACAATGCGGCTCGCACGGAGTCCCCGCTTCACCTCTCGCCTGCCTCGATTCGGCACAGCGACGACGACAATGCGGCTCGCACGGAGTCCCCGCTTCACCTCTCGCCTGCCTCGATTCGGCACAGAAAACGGGAGGACTTGACTTGAGACGGCAGCGTTGCTGTCACTGGCAGTGAAGGGAATGCCGCCTCCGAGGAGGAACGGGCTGCCTCTTGCCACGCATGGCCGCTCCAGATGGATGGATGGATGCCCGTCTGGCGGCGAAAACGCTGCTCCCCCCTTGACCCTCCCGCTCCTCCTCCTCCTCCTCCTCCCTTCAGCCCAATGTGCCCCCACCTTGCTCCCTCGCCTCCCGTCTGCTCCGTCCTTCCCCCCTCCCTCTTTCTTCCTCTCCTTTCTTTCCATCCCACAAACCTTTCACTTTTCCCCTTTCTTTTCCTTCCCTTTCCTTCCTCCCTCTTCCTTTCCTTCCCTTGCTCTTTTCCTTCCATTTTCCCACCTTCTTTCACTTTCCCCCCTTTCCTTCCTCCTCCTCCTACCATTCCTTCTCCTTTTTCCTACCATCTTTCCTCCTTCCTTTCACTTCCCCCCATTTCCTTCCTTCCTTTCTCTCTCCCGCCTTCCCTTTCTTTTCCTTTCCTCTCTCCCTCTTCTTTCCCTTCCCTTGCTCCTTTTTTCCTTCCTTTCCCACACCTTCTTTCACTTTTCCCCCTTTCCTTCCTTCCTCTCTCTCCCACCTTCCCTTTCCTCCCTCCCTCTTCCTTTCCTCCCCTTTCTCCTTTTTCCTTCCATCTTTCCCTCCACCTTTGTTCACTTTCCCCTCTTTTCTTCCTTTCTTCTCTCCCTTTCCCTTTCTTTTCCTTCCCTTTTCTCCCTCCCTCTTCCTTTCCTTCCCTTTCTCCTTTTTCCTTCCATTTCCCCCCACCTTCTTTCACCTTCCCCCTTTCTTTCCTTCCTTTCTCTCTTTCCCGCCTTCCCTTTCTTTTCCTTCCCTTTCTCCTTTTTCCTTCCATTTCCCCCCACTTTTTTTCACTTTCCCCCCTTTCCTTCCTTTCTCTCTCCCCCACCTTCCCTTTCTTATCCTTTCCTCTCTCAATATTCCTTTCCTTCCCTTTCTCCTTTTTTCCTTCCCTCCTTCTTCCTTTCCCCTTTTTCTTCCTTTCTCTCTCTCCTCTTTCCCTTTCTTTTCCTTCCCTTTCCTCCCTCTTCCTTTCCTTCCCTTTCTCCTTTTTCCTTCCATCTTTCCCCCACCCTTTCACTTCCCCCCATTTCCTTCCTTCCTTTCTCTCTCTCCCGCCTTCCCTTTCTTTTCCTTTCCTCTCTCCCTCTTCTTTCCCTTCCCTTTCTCCTTTTTCCTTCCATCTTTTCCCCACCTTCTTTCACTTTCCCCCCTTTCCTTCTTTCCTTTTTTTCTCTCCCGCCTCCCCTTTCTTTTCCTCCCTTTCCTCCTCCTCTTTTCCTTCCCTTTCTCCTTTTTCCTCCTCATTTCCCCCCACCTTCTTTCACCTTCCCCCTTTCTTTCCTTCCTTTCTCTCTCTCCCGCCTTCCCTTTCTTTTTTTTCCCTTCTCCTTCTTTCCTTCCTTTTCCCCCACCTTCTTCCTTTCCCCTCTTTCCTTCCTCCTTCTGTCCCCTTCTCTTCTTTCTCTTCTCTTCCTTTCCCTTCCCTTCCCTTTTTCCTTCCATCTCTTTCCCCCTTCTTCACTTTCCCTCCCCTTTCCCTTCATTCTTTCCCACCTTTCCTTTCTTTTCCTCCTTCCTTTCTTTCTCCTCCTTCCTCTTTCCCTTTCTCCTTTCTCCTTCCATCTTTCCACCACCCCCTTTCTTTCACTTCCCCCTTTCCTTCCTTCCTTTCTCTCCCACCTTCCCTTTCTTTTCCCTCCTTTCTTTCTTCCTTCTTTTCCTCCCCCTTTCTTTCTTTTCCTTCCCCCTTTCTCCTTCTTTCCTTTCTCTCTCTCCCACCTCCCCTTTCTCCTTCTTTTCTTCCTTTCTTCCCTCTTTCTTTCTTCTTTCCTTCCCTTTCTCCTTTTCCTTCCTCTTCCTTCCTTCTTTCCTTCCTCCTCTTCCTCCTCTTCCTTCCTCTCCTCCCTCCTTCTTTCCTCTCCTCTTTCCTTCCCTTCTTCCTTTCCCTTTCTTTCCCTTCCCTTTCCTTCCTCCCTCTTCCTCCTTCCCTTTCTTTCTTCTTTTTCCTTCCATCTTTTCCCCACCTTCTTTCACTTCCCCTTTCCTTCCTTCCTTTCTCTCCCCCTCTTTCTTTCTTTCTTTTTCCTTTCCTTCCTCTTCCTTTCCTTCCTTTCTCCTTTCCCTTCTCTTTCTTTCCTTCTCTCTCTTTTCCTCCCCTTTCCTTCTTCTTCTTTCTCCTTCTTATTTTCTTTCCTTTTTTCCTTCCCTCCCTCCCTTCCCCTCCCTCCCTTCCCCTCCCCTTCCCTTCCCTTTCCCTCCCCCCTTCCTCCCTCCTCTCCTTCCTCCTCCTTCTCCTCCCCCTCTCCTTTCCTTCCTTCCTCCTTCCTCCCTCCTCCTCCCTCCTTCCTCCTTTCCTTCCTTCCCCTCCCCTTCCTCCTCCCTTCCCCCCTTCCTCCTCCTTCCTCCTCCTCCTTCCTCCTTCCTCCTCCCTTCCTTTTCTTTTTTTCTTTTTCCTTTTTTTTTTTTTTTTTCTTTTTTTTTTTTTCCTCCCTTCCTTTTCTTTTCCTTCCCTTTCTCCTTTTTCCTTCTTCCTCCCCTTATTTCACTTTCCCCCCTTTCCTTCTTTCCTTTCTCTCTCTCCCTCCTCCCCTTTCTTTTCCTTCCCTTTCCTCCTTCTTCCTTTCCTTTCTCCTTTTCCCTTCCATCTTTCCCCACCTTCTTTCACTTTCTCCCCCTTTCCTTCCTTCCTCTCTCCCACCTTCCCTTTCTTTCCTTCCCTTCTCCCTCTTCCTTTCCTTCCCTTTCTCCCTTTTCCTTTCATCTTTCCTCCCACCTTCTTTCTCTCCCCTTTCTTTCTTTCCTTCCTTCCTTTCTCTCCCACCTTTCCTTTCTTTTCCTTCCCTTTCCTCCCTTTCTCTTCCTTTCTTTCCCTTTCTCTTTTTTCCTTCCATCATTCTTGCCACCTTCTTTCACTGTCCCTCCTCTTTCCTTACTTCCTTTCCCTTTCTTTTCCTTCCCTTTCCTCCCTCTTCCTTTGCTTCCCTTTCTCCTTTTTCCTTCCATCTTTCCTCCCACCTTCTTTTATTTCCTCCCTTTCCTCCCATCTTTCCTTCTTTTGTCTTTCCCTCCCGCCTTCCTCCTTTCTTTTCCTTCCTCCCCTTTCCTCCCTTCTTTGTCTTTCCCTCCCGCCTTCACTTTTTCCCTTTCTTTTTCTTCCCTCCCCTTTCCTCCCCTTTCTCTTCCTTTCCTTCCCTTTCTCCTCTTTCCTTCCTTTCTTTCCCTCCCACCTTCTTTCACCTTTTCCCTTTTTCTTCCTTTCCTTCCTCTATTTTTCTTTCCTTAGTTCACTCTATCCCTATTATTATTATTATTATTATTATTATTATTATTATTATTATTGCTATCATAGAAGACCTCTTCTCTTTCCTCCCTCTCCCCACCTTTCTCCTTCATCCTCTCCTTTCCTTCCTTCTCTCTCCCTTATTCCTTTCCCTCTTCTCTTTCCTCCGTTTCCTTCCTCTTCCCTTCCTTCCTTCACTCTTTCCCTTTTCCTTCCCTCTTCACCCCCTTCTTTCATCCTCCCTTCCCTCTTTCCCCCCTTTTCCTTCCCTCTCTTCCTTATTATACTCTTCCTTCCCTCCTTTTCCTTCTCATCCTTTCTCCTCCTTTCTATCCTTCTCTTCGCTCCCTTTTCCTTCTCTCCTCCTTATCCTCTCTTCCTTTTTCCTTCCTCCCCTCTCTCCCTTTTCCTTCTAGCCTCCCCTCCCCTTCTCTTTCCTCCCTCCCTTTCTTCCTTTTCTCTCTTCCTTCTTTTACTTTATTCCCTCCCTCCTTTTTCCTTCTTCCTTTCCTTCGTCTTCCTTCTTATCCTCTTTTCCGCCTTCCTACCTTCATTCCCTGCTTTACTTTTCCTTCCCTCTTCACCCCTTTCCTTCCTTCCCTTCCTTCCTCCTTCCTTCCTTCCTTCCTTTTCTCTTCCTTCCTTCCCTTCTCTTTCCCTTCTCTCCTTTCCTTCTTTCTCCCCTTTCCCTTCCCCCTTCCTTCCTTCCTTCCCTTCTCTCCCTCTCCTTCCCTCCTCTTCCTCTCTTCCCTTCTTTCCCCTTCTCTTTCCTTTTCCTTCCTCCATTATCCCTTTTGCCCCATCCTTCCTTTCTTCCCTCCCTCCCTCTTCCTTCCTACACTCCTTTCCTTTTCTTCTCTCTCTTCTTATCCTCTTTTCTTCCTATCCTCTTCATTCCCTCCCCCTTCTTTCCTTCCTCCTGTTTTCCTTCTCTTCTCTTTCCATCTTTTTCCCTTCCTCCTTTCACTCTTTTTCCCCTTCTTCCCCTCCCTCTATTTCCTTCCTCTTCTCTTCTCTTTCTCATCCTTTTCCCCTTCCTTCTCTTCACTCCCGTTTCTTTCCTTCTCTCCTCCTCAACCTCTTTTCCACCTTCCTTTTTCCTTCCTCCTCTCCCTCCCTTTTCCTTCTGTCTTTCCCTCCCTCCCTTTTCCTTCTTCCTCCCTGTTTTCCTTCCTATCCTCTTTTCCTCCTTCCCTTTTCCTTCCATCCTCTCCTCCCTCTATTTCCTTCCTCATCCTTTCCCCCTTCCTTCTCTTCACTCCCGTTTCTTTCCTTCTCTCCTCCTCAACCTCTTTTCCACCTTTCTTTTTCCTTCCTCCTCTCCCTCCCTTTTCCTTCTGTCTTTCCCTCCCTCCCTTTTCCTTCTTCCTCCCTGTTTTCCTTCCTATCCTCTTTTCCTCCTTCCCTTTTCCTTCCATCCTCTCCTCCCTCTATTTCCTTCCTCTTCTCTTTCTCATCCTTTCCCCTTTCCTTCTCTTCACTCCCGTTTCTTTCCTTCCCTCCTCCTCAACCTCTTTTTTGCCTTACTTTTTCCTTCCTCCCCTCTCTCCCTTTTCCTTCCGTCTTTCCTTCCCTTTCCTTTCTTCCTCCCT